TCTTCTTCTCCTCCTCTTCCTTCTTCTCTTCTTCTTTAAGATTTCTGTCATAGACACATGCACTCATCAGAGGGTGAAAGTGAGGGGGAAAGAAAAACATGACCTTTTTTCTTCTTCTTCTTCTCCTCCTCTTCCTTCTTCTCTTCTTCTTTAAGATTTCTGTCATAGACACATGCACTCATCAGAGGGTGAAAGTGAGGGGGAAAGAAAAACATGACCTCCCAGTGGGTATGGCCACACTACAATCCATTCTACTCCATTTTTATCCTGTGTTTAAGCACACATGCATCCATGCCTGTGTGCTTTCCAAGTTTCCAGGTCTGGTATTAGCACCGTGGTCAGCCACGAGGGAGGCCACCTTAGCCACCACAGCACCTGCTGATTCCTGAATGGTTTTGCATATTTGTTTTTGCTTTTTAGCTTCTTTCATAGTGCTTGGGTGCTCACCAGAGAAATGAGAGTAAGAGAAAATGTGAAAATTCACCTTCTAGAGGGGATGGCCATACCACAGTTCCTTCTTCTCCATTTTTCTCTTGGGGGTTTGGGTATGCAAACATATGTGCCCATCATGATTTCAAGCCACTGGATTCAGAACTCAAATCAATCAATCATGCTAGGTGATATGGAAAACCAACTTTCTTAACCACCATACCATATGCTGAGATTTTTTTTTTTTTTTAGACACAGAGACTTTTGCTTTTAGGTACATGGGCTTGTCAGAAAGACAGAGAAAGACAGAAAGTGAGAAATCTCCTCACAGGGGGCCTGCCTATGTCACAATTCCTTACTTTTATCTTCCCGCCCCCCTCAGAATTTTGGGCATGCATGCAGACATGCCCAGTATAAGGTTTAAGCCACCCCTCTGTAACTTGAACCACCATTAACTAGATGGGAGTTCAGTGATGTAACCATTATGTCATTCACTGGTCCCTGATAAGGTATTTAAAACACACACACAGACACACACACACTCCTATGTTTTCTTTTCAAAATCAAGATTAGGCAAAATTTGCAGAAAATGTTTTTGATTTTTGTTGTTTTTATCCGAGGTATATGGGTCATTGTCTTTTCTACTTAAAGAATTCTGCCAATAGATACTTAACTATTAAAGTATTTGGGGTGACCCTATGACTTGATGATTGATGTAGCCAGATTCCACTTGGCCAACCTTGCAGCTTGAGTTTTGGACCCAGAGTTTGAGAAACACACCAAGAATGTATGTGTTCCTCAACACATATTTGTTAGTGGAGAACAGATTGCTCCATGATCATTTTCCATGAAAGTTGCTTTCTTTCTCTGTCTCTCTGAAGAGTAGAGAAACTACTCTTCTCATAAACTTTTAAAATGAATAACATCAGTGCAGCGAAATACTGAAAAATGTCAAAGAAAAGATATTTGACAGAACATAGATCAAAACTGGAAAAAATCTATGTGTGTTTTTTAGGAATACATCCGCCATCACAGATTATTGTCATAATGATCATATCTATTTTATCTCTAGTGGTACAGATGCTGTGAGACATAATCCCTTCATGCAATACTCATGATGTAGAAAAAAATGAGTTCTACATAATATTCTAACATGAACTTATGGAAAAAAAATTCTTTTAGACTTAACTAATTTTACTGTCTACAAAAAATCCTGGAGGAAAGAACAGTGATCCAATTTTAAAATATGAAACCACTTTGAGTCATTTAATCTCAGGCTATTCTTGTTGCTTTATATTTTAAATAAATACCAAATCATGGAACCAGAAACAAACATGATGATTTAAGTCACCATACTCCCATATCCATGAATGTAGTTCAAGCCCTGAACTGGTGGTTTGCTTTTTTTACTTTCCCTTTCTTGCTCTCTGTCTCTTTTTCGGGACTAATCATGCCCTACAACAAACCTAAAAATCAGTAATAATAATTCATAAAATAGAATGAATAATTTTAAAAATAAACACTAAATTCATAAATTTTTTAATGAAACATCTTTCTTCAAATGGGACAAATACATTAAACAAATTTATTGAACAAAACAAGTAATTGCCATATACATACATACAAATAAAGTTGTGAAAGTATAGTTTCTATCTGATTTACAACAAGAATGATATTTGAATTACACCTGGAGAAAGTTTGTAGTTGGCGCTTAGAAAACAAGTCATTTCATGGTTTGAGTACGGGATCTGGTGGCTTGAAAATCATGCCTGACATGTGTGTGCATGTGCATGCCCCAATCAGGACAGCAGAATGAAGGAGATCATGGTGTAGCCATCCCCCTGAGGATTAATTTCTCAGTTATTCTCTTTCTGACCTTGTCTCTCTCCAGTGAACAAACATGACTATTCAGTACCTAAAGAAAAATTAAACTCTTGCCTCAATCAAAATACCAATTAAAATAATAAAATGTGCCTTTTACATACAGACTTTGTACTATTCAATTTTTCTTATATACATTCTAAACTATAGCAAAACTTATGGTTTTAATTAGCTGATTTGTTTCCTTATGTGTATTCAAGCAGCAGTGCAATTAATAATATCAATGAGATGATGGCTAAGTATACAGAACTGAACATTGTTTAATAAGAGAAATATTTTCTGAGAATATATTTTTGTTGGGACCAGCAGTTAGCATAATGGCTATGTTGCTGGACTCCCACATAGTCAACCGCAGTTCACATCCCAGACCCGGTGGCTTAAACTCATGCCGGGCACATGTGTGTGTGTGCCCAAGATCCCTAGAGGAGAATGGAGGAAAAGGGATTGTGGTGTGACCATCCCCTCTGGGGGGGTGATTTCTCACTTTCTGTCTCTCTGTCTCTCATCTCCCCAGTGAGCATATGCACCCTATAGCAAAAAAACCTCTCCAAAAAAAGAAAAAGAAAAAAAAAAGAATATATTTGTGTGTGTGTGTGCTTTTGTTGTAGAGAGATGTTCGCTCTAGGGTACATGACCTCACTGGGGAGATAAACAGAAAGTGAGAAATCATCACCCAGGGGGATGGCCATGCCACAATCTTCTCTTCCATTCTGCTCTTGGGATTTTGGAGACACAAAAATGAACCTGGTGTGAGTTTTAAATCTTCTCATCTGAGACATGGAAAGGGATCAGCCAAGTGGGAGTCCAGTAATGTAACCATGATGTCATCTGCTGGTCCCCTAGAAATGCATTTTTTTAGAATTTTGTCATTGTATGAACAACATAGATTGCACTTCCACAACCATAGTTGATATGGCACGTTGCACATGGAATCTATACAGTCTAACCTATTATCTTATAGTACCACTATCATATATGCAGTTTATCATTTACTGAAATGTCTTATGACTTTATGGAGCAAATTCCTCTTTCATGTATATAATATATATGCAAATAATATACATAGTTAATATATTATATATTAATATAATTAATATATCATACAATATATTTTGTTTTAATATAATATATTATTAATTATAGTTATTATAATATATTCATATATTGTATTATTAATATATTGTATAGTAATAATTATTTTATATATAATATATAATTATATATAATATACAGATATATAATATACATGAAAGAGTAACTTGCTCAATATATGTGTATATATATTATATACACACATATACATATATATTAACTATGTGCATATATATTTATATATGTGTGTGTATAAAAAATTACTCTCTATGCCCTGAAATCTTTTATTATTTGTGAACAAAGTCCTTCTTATCATTTCTTGTCATTTTGCAAACCATTCTTATTTTTTAATATCTATTTATTTATTTTATTATCTCATCTTTCTCTTTCTGCTTCTTCCTTCTTCAATTTACCCAGAGAGGGAGGAAGAGGACAAGTGTGAAAACAATCCACTGGGTTCAGCTCGTGGTCAGTCATGTGTGAGTCTGATGTCTTAACCACTATAGCACCTGCCAGCCCCATGCATTTCAATCTCCATTGTACTAGACTTTTCAAAGCATTGACTATATTCTCAGACAATTTGATTTTGCAGATTTATGTGAATATGCCATGCACATGTACTGTGTTAATATATGAAAAACCGTGCTCAACTGGCCTCAGAACCCAAAAATAGATTAACCACATGTTCATCATATATCTGTTGGCCCATGAGTTTTAATTTAACTTTTTATTGTATATCTACATATCACATTATTAGGTATTTTAAAATCTAGAACCTAAAATTTTCTACCCAACCAGACATGAAGATATAGTATAAATTTTCTGAGGAACACAACTTTTCAGAGTTTATACCATGTAAAACCTGCATCAAAATGGTTTTGGATGAAGTGATTGCATAGGAGAAGATAATGACACTACAGATATTTTTAGCCATTTATGGAATAAGGTAATTAGGTACCTTGGAAATATTCAGTAAATAATACATGAAGGGGACTGGCAGGTGGCTAAAGCACCAAACTCCCACAGCTAATTGAGGTTAAAGTCCCAGAAATGACAGATGGATTTCTCACTTTTATTTCTCTCTCCTTCTGGTCAAATTTAAAAAATAACAATAAATTGAATAAATAATTATTTAAAAAATAATAAAACATAAGAAAGCTAAGTAAACTAGTTCTTAATTAGAAGTGTAGTTAAGGGGAGATAGCAGACAGTATAGTGGTTAAAGATCTGGATTCCCACATGGCTGACTGCAGTTTGAGTCCTGAACCTTGAGGCTTAAAAGTCACAACCGGTATAGATGCATCTATGCCAAAATTCTTGAGAGGAGAATAAAGACGGGATTGCAGTGCAGTAATCACCTTAGGTGGTGATTGCTCTCTTTCTCCCTCTGTCTTAGGGTCTCTCTGGCAAGAACATGCACTCTATAGCCAAGACATCTCCCTTAAAAAATTAATTTAAACATTTCAGGTAATATAGAATAAACAGCAATGAAATACTAAAGGCCAAAATTTTCTTTGAGATAAAGAAAAATAGGGACATCCCATTAAAATAGATCATAACATACATGATAATGACTAATAATTTTCTTTTCTTCTCAGACTCCTGGATCTGTGTGTAGCCACAGTTGTATTGCAGGATTCAAGAAAATTCCTCAAGAAGGAAGACCTGTTTGCTGCTTTATTTGTGTTTCTTGCCCAGAGTCAGATATTTCAAATCAAACAAGTATGAAATATAACTACACTGTTATTCCCTACTATTGCTCAATAAAAATGCAACTATTAATATTAAAATTAAAACATAGGACCCAGAAGGGTGCATGGTGGTGAATACACTGTCCCGTTGGCTGATCACTGCTCAATTCCAAACCCTGAGGTTTGAAGGTCATGCCAGTTGCATGTGTATGTATGCCCAAAATCCCAAGAGGAGAAAGGAGAACAGATTGTGGCATGGCCATATCTCCTGGGGTGTGATTTCTAGCTTTCTGTCTCTGACTTTCTTGTGAGCACACATGCCCTATAGTAAAAATCTCACACACATACAAAAAAGAAATGAAACTTAGAACACTATTATTCTTAATCACATGTTCATTGTTTTGATATATTTATTTTATAAACACTATTCTACCCTATTATGTGTAAGCTGTTTTCTGACCCTGCTCATTCTATTAGGCTCAACTGTGAAACTATTTCTAATGGACAGCTTTGGAGTTCGGTGCTGAGTAAGATAGTGTCAATCTTAGATCTCATACTGTATCATGCTGGTGATGAAAGGGAGGATGTGTATTCATCAAGACTACCAGTGGGTGCCTTTAACTTTGAATTTTACTTTTATCCTCAGATAATGAGTACAAAATAATTACAGATAAATTATTAAGAAAATATTTTATAACTTTTTTAAACATGCTCAAACATCTGTGCAGTTAAGTACAAAGAATTGATTACTGTCAGAATACCACATGTTGAAATATACTGCAGGAAGAAAAAGAAACATATTTTAAAGATTAAAGACTCAACATTCTAAGAAATTTAACATCTGAGCACCTCAAAATTTGCTGTCATACAAAATGCACTATCAAGTAATTCTCAAAATAAAATGTGGTATTGTAAAATATGAAATATGGAAAGTTATAAAAAATCATGCTTCTATCTTTCCAATACATAAGAAATAAATAGGTTTTGAATTTTTCCTTAAGTATTTTGCAATTCCAGACATTCTAATAATAGAAATCATTTGATTTTCATCACTGGTAAAAATAAATATTTATGTTCAGGTTAGAATATGCTAAGAATAAGAATACTTATTTTTTGTGAAAGAATTACAAAACCAAATAATTGTGGAAAAAAAAATAATTGAGGTACAAAGCCAGTCCATGGCATGGTCATTAATGTAGCTAAATTCCACATGACACAAATTGTGATGTGGGTCCCAAGTGAAATGACTTAGAAAATACCATAAAAGTTTGTATGCTGTCTAAAATCCCAATAAGAGGAAAAAATGGTGCATAAGGAATTGTGCCATAACCATTTCATGAAGGTGGTGCTGTCTCACTTTCTTCCTTTCTGTGTATGTCTCTCTAGTAAGTGAATGTGCCCTCTTGCAAATTCAAATAAAAAAAAAAAAAGAAAAATAGGGGCCAGTAGTTGGCCTGAGTGTTAAGGCTCTGGACTTCCTCATGAACAGCCATGGTTCATGTCTAGAATCCTAGACCTGGTGGCTTGCTTTCTTACTTTCCCTCTCTCTCTCTGTCTCTGTCTCTCTCTGGTGAGTGTACATGCCCTATAGTGATTTTTAATATAATACTAATAAAATTCAATAAGCAATACTTTAAAAACTAAAACTAGAAAGGAAATATGAATAGAGAAAGAAAGGGTTTTGGACCCAGAAGAAAACATACACATGTATGTGGGTGCTAAACCTATTCCTGAGACAGAAGCCAGGAGTATCTACTGACTCTCGGAATAGGAATAGGCAGTGCAAGGAAAAAAAATGTGATTGACTATCTCTCTAATTCATATTTTTCTAAAAAGCTTTTATTTAATTTTATTAATTATTATTAAAATTTTCTACAGTTCATGTACACTAATCAGAGATGAGAAAGAGAGAAAGAGAAAGGAAAAGTGAGAAAGCAAGTCACCAGGTCTGATACTCAAGCTGCAATAAGCCATGTGGGAGTCTAGAACCTTAACTACCATGCCACCTGATGGCTCCCACCATAATTGTTTGACAAGATATTGGGTTGTTGGAAGAGTTATGACAAGTTTTGTTCTGTGCAAAAAACATATTATGGCTTTTCAACAACCCAATATTATTGCCTAAGTACTACCAAATATAATTTCATAAATAAATAATAGTTTAGAAAGGATTAGTTTTATCACTCATTTTTTGTCATCTCTGTGAGTGCTTTCCTGCTCCATAAATAATAGTTTAGAAGGGTTAGTTACACCACCTATTTTTATAACAAAAAGTTAATTGAAATACAAACATGCCTGTTTATGTAATCTCTGTGACTGCTTTCCTGCTCCATATCAGTAGAGGTGAGTAGTTGCAACACAGACCTTATAAATGTACAAAGGCAAAAATATTACCAGTCTCTTTTAAAAATTAACAATGTTTCCACATTCATATAAATGGATACCTCAAAAAGCACACTGTATCCTTTCATCATATAAATAAAATACCAGTTTCAGGACCAGCAGTTATCATAATGGCTATGTCGCTGGACTCCCACGTAGTTGACCACAGTTCACGTCCCGGACCCGGTGACTTAAACTCACGCTGGGCGTGTGTGTGTGCGTGCCCAAGATCCCAAGAAGAGAATGGAAGAGAAGGGATTGCAGCGTGGCCATCCCCCCCTGGGGGGTGATTTCTC